CCCATCAGCCCTGGGCACTCGGAATCAGCAGGAGCCAGCGGCACAGGGATGCTGCACTCCGTGCATCTGCCTTTCTTGCTCCCCTGCCTGGGGCTTGGGCGAGAGCAGGCACGTATCAGGCTGGTCCCTAAGCAGGGGGGAGGATGGCAGGATCTGGAAGCTACCCAATCTCCTTGTAATCTTTCTTCCCCATCAGCGTCATGAGCCACGTAGGGCAACAGGCACAAAACCGAGCTTGCCTTGTACAGCTATGAAATCTTGAGCCAGTCTTTGCTGGAAACAGGAGCTGAAATAGGAGATCAGGAAAGTATTCACCTCTACCCTATAATACAATTTGTGGTACTTTTCTACCAAAATTAAACAAAAATAATTAAAAAAAAACCCTTATAAAATGAATGATAACTCCCCTTTTCTTGTCTGTCTTTCCCAGAAACAAACCATTTTTTTGTCTTTTTTGAGGTCATACCCTGGTTGCTGCTGGACAAAACCCAATCAGATGGTAAATCTGAAGGCAGTGACGGAGTGGAAAATATATCAAGAGCTCTGAAGCCATTACAGGATTTTAATTACATGCTAAACTGGTTTTTCCACGAAGCAGTAGCCTTCCAGATGAAGGAACTGGGACCCAGGGCTGATAATAGTTGCTGGTGCCCAGGCTGCAGATTGTGTGGTCAATCCCTTCCAGTCAGCTTCAGCTAATAATACTTCTAAACCACTGCCTTACTTATCTCATGATATTTTATAGCTATAATAATGATTTCATTTGACCTTTTGTTGACCACTGTCATTTACCCCACATTTTGGCACAAGGAAAGGCCTATTACTGGCATTGTGCTCCCACCAGCAAGGAAATGCCTTGCCCTCTGAAGACTGAGAAACAGTTGGCTTGAGTTGTGCCCTTCATCACAATCATCCATCACCATCGTCCTGTAATAAAATCTTTTCATTGCTAAGAGTAGTCTGACATGAAAGACTGAAGTGTGGAGTGAGGACCTAAGGGTAGTGGGGAAACTGTGTGTTGAAACTCTGAGGCTCCTAGTCTGGATAAGATGCACTGGCAGGACTGGGACATGCTCCTACAACCTCACTGCGTGCATATTGTGTGTGCAAGGAGGTGTAACGGGCTTTGTTTTAAAAGAAAAGCTCTGACTAAACACAGGATGACGATCATGCACCGTTCCCTGATAGCCGTTGTAAGAGAAATCTGCTTTTTTCCTAGTTGCTTCTGGGCTCTTGGGTATTTTACAGGGAGAAGGCTGAGTTTAAGGGTTACTGGGGCTAATAACAAAAGGAACAGAAGTGGCACCGCACAGCACCAAGTACACAGGTCCCCATTCCTCCCTTGTGGGTCATTAGCAGGGTTGGGAGCAATAAACCTGGTTGTTGTCTCTGCTGCTGGAGCTGCAGTGCTAGCAGGAGTGTGTGGAGGGAACAGATTAGGCAGGAGGAGTAAAATGTGATTAAGTGGCTTTCAGAGCTTGCTGTTGAGCGCAGAGGACAGAAAGGCTTCAGGCTGGGTTCCTGTTTTCAAGGGCTGTTTTCTGTGACAGTCGTGTGCTGTTCTTTCTCCAGTCTCCTGCCACAAATGTGTCTTTCCCCTCTCTATCTTCGGTTCCCAGACCACTGCTCTGTCCTCTGTTATCTCCCACGTGGTCCTTTCCATACCCTGATGAGGTTTTCCATTCCCTGCAGCCCGTGTGTCCCAGGCAGTGTCTTCTGATAGCTCAGTGGTATGGCTTTTTGGCAGCAGAGCAGGTCACACAGCTGTCTCAAGCCTGTAATGGAATATGCTTAGTTGCTGCAACAGGTACATATGTTACTTGCGTAGCTGACATGGAAGAGGGGCAAAGGGATGGACCATGCAGGTAGATGACATTCATGTTAACCTCAAAGTGTGAAAAAAATGAGTTGTGCAAAGGACTTAATGTGTAATGAATTCTGAGTAGGTTTTCATACAACAGAGCAAAAGTCATGTGCCAGATGAAGCTCTTCCCCTTATTGCCAAGAGTCATGTCCATGTTCAAGAGTGAGAAGAGACTTGAAGCATCTAAAAAAAAATACTTGTAATTCATTCCTTTCCTTTAGATAAAACCAAATTTCTTTTTCCTTGGCTTTCCTCTCCAAAATTATCAAACTGACTTTGCTGAAATTGTTTCATGCATCCCGCTTTCCTCAAACGAAACATTCATTCAGAGAAGCATCTTACGTACTAAGTGTTGGCTTCCTAACAGGGGCATCGGACAATGTTGACTATCTGATATTGCTTACTGGCTCATGTGCAGAATGCATTTCTAAGTCCTATTGTGCAAATAAACCCTTTTATAGTTGCTTAGAACGGTAGTTTTCTAGAACGCGGCCAGAGCTGCATGTGGAACTGCAGCCATGTTGTTCTTGGAAGTGCAAGATGAGGATCAAGATGAAGGGGATAGCTGCTGAATTTGAACAAAGAACAATTTTCTGGTCACCCGTAGAAGGTTACGAGTTTGAGAAAACGTTGTAATCAAGTAGCCTTGATGTGAAACAGCATAAATCTGTGCATAGGTTGGCTCCATACATCTCTGCTGATTACTTCATTTGCCTGGTTGAAAATATTGCTGCAATTTAACTTCCAGGAATGTCTGATCCATTTATCTGGCATGATAGTAATAGGGAAAGGAGGGGGCAACCTTCAGTCATTTATCCATGTTTATTTGGATGTTACGCTAGCACTAATTTTCTCAATCAGGCATGAGGAGGCGGCTCAGGGCATTCCTATGTAGTGTTTTCAGATAAACCCATTGCTATGTGAACGTCAGAGTCGCAATTGCTCTGTACTCCTCCTGTTATAACACATGACTCTTGCAACACACACACAAGCAAAGAGCGTGAACGTGTCCCCAAGTGAGGAATTTGCAATTTGCCCCATGCTGGAAGAGGAACATGCTTGCAACAAGATACGTTTTATTACTGCCGCAAAAATGGGAGACTTTTCCTATTTGTACATTGTGTATTAAAACATGGTTAGGTTGCTTAGCCAGTAATACAGATATCTCTAAGATTTCAGTTGTTTTCAATTGTATTTCTTTGGGAGGTTTACTTTTATTTGTAAATATGCGAAATCTTGATTTATTTTTTGTGTATTTTCTCAAGTGTTTAAAAAATGGCAAAGTATATTTTGATTCAGACATCCCTGCATTCCTCTCTTGCTTTTTTCTTGTACATTTTAGTTTCAGTCTGACTAACAAAGAAATATTTAATGCAATATGTTTGGTTGATGATTTATTGGAGTTGAAATGTAGAAGGAAAATATGAAAAGCATGCCAGAATCAAAATGTGTTTCGGGATTTTTGCAAAAAAATACTTGTGAAAATATTTTTGTTGTCTTTGCTTTCTGTCTGAAGACATTGCAGGGAATTCCAACTGAAAACGTAACCTCTGCAATTTGCTTAAAAGATGTTGGAGTTTTATTTTACAAAGAAGAAACAATGCCAAAGTGCTTGTTATTTGCACTCTTACTTTCTCTTCCTATTCAAGTACAGCTTGATGCAATAATCAACTTCAAAGAAGAAATCAATGACTCAATAAATGTTCCAATATACAAGTATAGCTTATAAATTTTATATTTATATAAACGTGTGTGCATATATACATTTTAGACCTATATAGACATAGTATGGTGCTTGTTTTACTGAATAGTTTTAAATTTAGCATAATCGCCGCGTTTGATTGCAAATCAATATATGTTGTAATTATCAATGAGACAATCTTTTTCCAGTTTAAAAAAAAAATCTTGGCAGTACAACATTCAGATTGATTAATTGAAATGAAAGAAGCGTTATTAATGCTTGTGATTCAAATAATTGTGCTTTCAAAATAGTCCACACTGCTTTCAGAGGGCTTTCCCGGTCCATCCTGGGCGGATGGGAACAATTCAGTGTCCCTGTCACAATAGCAGAGGTTTGCCTCAGTTGGCGAGGTCTTTGCGCATGTCGTTGAGCAGAAGGTTGAGTGATACCTGCTTGCAGGAGAGGAGCTCCTGAGCGCTGTAGGTGTATATTTTCAAAGTGTTTCAGCCAGCTGGAAGGTGTGGTACGAATGGGAGGATTCATTTCTGTAATTCTTTAGAAGCTGAGAGGGGGAAAAAAAAAAAAAAGGCAATGAGTGAGAAGCGTGTACAGCTGGGAGATGACTAGAGTAGAGTAAATCAGTGTAGATTTCATTCTCTAGAGAATGAAGAGCATAAAAGCCCACGGGTATGTCCTCACCAGGACAGCCGAGTGCATTAGGGCATGGCCAACCAGCCCTGCAGCACCCAAGCCTTCGCCCCAGCACCACGCGGTGCCGCGGCGCCTGGCTTTCTGCATTTATAACATTGCAGGAGCGTGTCTGCCGCACACACGGTACAGGGCAGGGTGCTGCAGCCACGGGGCTGGGGTGCGCGCGTGGAGGCCGACCACCAAAGCGGGGCTGAAAGCTGTGGTAGGCAGGTTAAGGATATTTGCTAAAGAGGGACTTTATTTTGTGGCTGCACTTTGGCAGCAGGGAAAGCGGGCAGAGGAGTGTGGTTTTTCTGCAGCGGAGCTAAGACACAGGCGATGTTATTGAGCTGAGAGGTTGAGGAACGTGAACAAAATGGGTAAGTGTTGATTTTATAGCTGAGCTAATCTGGTCATTGTGTGGGAGTGCCTCGTTGTTAATGATGGCTGATAGCATTATCATGCCACCGCAAGCTCCCAGCATACTGTAAATTTTCTGGACATGGGGCAGGGGTAGGGGGGATGAAAGGCTTGTGGGGTTTTTTCGTGCTTTCTAATCTCTGGAGGGGATGAGGCTGTGCCCCTCAGAGCTTTATGTGTGATGGAGGCTGTAGCATAAGGTGGTATTAGGGGCACTTATCTCCTTGCTGCTATAGGGCACCCCTACATGCCTCCCTATCCCTGGACTTCTACCCCAAAACTTACACAAATATCAGCAGCAAATTTTGTGACTCTTTCTTTTCTCTCTCTCTCTTTTTTCCCAAGCATCCTCTTTGCAGACATAGAGGGTTTCACAAGTCTGGCCTCCCAGTGCACTGCTCAGGAGCTGGTCATGACGCTGAACGAGCTCTTTGCCAGATTTGATAAGCTAGCAGCGGTAAGTTTTCTATTATAATTCTGATTTTTTTTTTTTCCTCTTGCAAGAATGACATACTGTGCTTGTTCACTGGACTTCTGTAAATATTCACTGCCCTAAAAGGCAAGCTATTGCAAGCATGAATATAAGCTGAATACTTCTCTCTCCTTTATTATTTTTATTATTATTATTTTAGGAGAACCACTGTTTACGTATCAAGATCCTGGGTGATTGCTATTACTGTGTGTCTGGGTTGCCAGAAGCAAGAGCTGACCATGCACACTGCTGTGTTGAAATGGGAATGGATATGATAGAGGCCATCTCGTAAGTACCATATTTCTTATGGAGAATTTGAGAACAAATAGCAAGTAGATTCTCTTTCCAATTAGGTCTTCCTTGCATTAGTAGCAAGGTAGCCAAACCAGGGAACAGTTGCCAGCAAAAAGGGAGACCAGCTGCAACAGGAAAACAAAATGCAGTAAAGGTTTGACAGCAGAAGGACAGACACTTGACTCCATTACAGCCACGTGGATATTAGAGCTCAATCTCCTGATGAGAAAGGCAAAGGTTAGTCTAATTACTGGAAGTCTCATTCCCAAAGGAGGATTCCAGTGAGTTACAGAAATGTGAAATCAGAGGATTAGTAGTAACTTAATTTCAGTCACTCTTCACTTATCTGTCTTTAAACCAGCTTTTTACTCACCTTACAATTCCTCTGCTAAGGTCTGTCTTGTCCAGTTTAACTAATCCTTCTCCATGTATTCTTAGGCCAAAAAAGGCAGATTCAAGACTTTCTTACTTCAGTTAAATTAATTCTTGAAGAAAACCATAAAGTTGATGTGACACGGACTGGGGCAGATCCACAGTGCCTTTTCTTTTATTTCCACTTACTTCCCCACCTTTATTTTTTTCTTTTAAAATCTGTTCTGAAGCTTTGCCTGCTCCTGAAGTCAGGCTAGCAATCCTGTGTTTGTCCAGACCATTCCTGTCTTTAGAGAGTAACAAATATGAGACCCATATCTAGTTATATTACTTGGAGGATTTTAGACAATGTTGAATATTGTTTGCATTGGACATGAGCTTTCACAGGCCAATTCTTCCAGAATTCGGGGAGGGAATTTTTATTTTGTCATCTTGAGTGTATGCAAGTTTAGGCATAAAGTTCAGTCAGTTTTGGATGGTAACTGAGCTGACATTAGTGTCTACACCATCCCTGCTGCCCAGAGACTTTGCTTCTTTTTCCCTTCTCTTCTAGCTTTTTAGTTTTGTGAAAGCATTTTCTGAAGCATCAGCGGTACCAACAGAGAAGTAGATCTCTGTGCAGTTCTCCTCTCGTTCCATTCAGTAAATTGACGGAGTTTCCACTTCATCGTGATAAAAACTAGAGCTACTTATTTGTTGACCTTGATACAGTACATCCTTACCATTTCAATTTCTGCAAGGACATGAATACACACCCACACTTTTCAGCCGTAATTTCATAACACAGATCCATAGTTTGAAAAGGAGTGTTTTCACCCAGGAGACCCCATTCAAAGAGCAGTATGCAGCAGCATTCCCTCGCTCTGTATACAGTGTACACTGTCAGGACTTCCTGCCTTTACTTTCCTGGTTTTAAACTCTGTTGCTTTGCACCAGTCTCCTTTTGGGATTTGCATGCAAAACACAAAATCAAAGGAGTTGCAAGTAACTAGTTTTCAGTAGCCCTTGAAAGGATGCTATTTCTTCCACGTGAAGTACAATTAAGTGGCAGGTGACAAAGTGTCTTGTCAAAAACGAGAAGCAGCAATTCTTAGCCACCAGCCCTACGAAGAAGGCACTGTGTACATTGCCCAGAAAGGTCTCACTTTCTGCACCAGTTGACCTGATGAAATCCAGAGACCTTGACACATTGCTGTGTAATCCCCCACAAGGCTGAGTAACACCGGGATGTCTAGACTTCATTGATTAACTGCAACCCACCTTACCTTGAAATAAACGTGGAGCTGAAGTGCACTCAATGTTTGTTTACAAATAGCTCTTCAGCAGCCTTTAAAACTTGTTTCCCACTTGATGTATGATGAATGCATTTAACAATCTTATCTCTTAATAAGTCTGGAAGGTGACTCTGTTCTCACTACCCCTGCTTTCCCCCTCCGCCCCCCCAAGGATCAAGATAAGAGGTTTCACAATTAAGGTAACCAATAGCTACTGAACATTTGATTGCAGGCAGCAAATAGCTACTGAACCTTTGATTGCAGGCTTCACAAACGCTGGGCCCTGCCCGGAGGCTGATTTCATCTGTGCACAATAACAGCAGGGAGTGTTACCCTGGATCAGAAAGATAGAATTATATTTACTGTACTGCCGGTATAAATGAACTAAAACCAAGGAAGGTAGCAAAGGATATTCCATTTGTCTATAAAGGATAACCAAACTCATTTGTTTGCTACAAAGTCTTCAGAAAGTCACCTTCTCATCAATGACTCTATAGAGAGTCTTGTGTCAGTCTTGTGTCAATCCCTGGTCTTGTGTCAGTAATGTGGCTTGGCAGAAGGTGCAGTGGGGTTTGTAGCACTCGTGCAGCATGTTCTTCCTCTCTCCCTAGTGTCGTACCCGCAGTACAGCTGCTGTTGTCCTTGCAAGGGTTATGGCTGCAGCTGCATTTTCATTACCCCGGTTCCTGTTGCTTTCCCAAGGGTCGTGGTTGGAGCTCTTTCAGTTCGTAAGCGTGTGGCACCTTACCTGTATGCAGCTTCCCTTCCCTGCTCAAGAATCTCTGCTGCTTGTTAATAAAAATAATGAATGTCACTTCAGTGAGTAGGAAGTAACACATAAGATAGGGATTGTAAGCAAAAAGGAGCTGTAAGAGGGTAGGAGCTGTTTCAACAAGAAGTCATCTTGAAGAGTCTTTTAAGAGGCATATTGCACTGTGAGGAGTGAACTAGAGTCCAGAATTGGTCTATCTTTAATCATTCATTTTCATTAATAGCTAAAGCATCAATATTAGATGTGTTGATGTTAGGAAGTTGGGAGGACTTACCTGTCCAGAGGACGTTATCTAGAAAGGACTAAATGAACCTGAAAACCAAAGAGCTTAAAATCTGATAGGTATAAAGTACAACTTCAATCTGCAACGAACTAACAACTCAAAGGAAAGGACTGTGCTATGTGATGTAGGTGAATTTGCTTGTGAAACATGGACATTCTGGGAATGATGTGATCAGCAATAACGAGAAGCAGAGTTGTTCTGAAGGCCTCATCAAGACTTTCCCCTACCCACATTCCTAAATATATTTTCCGTGTGAACAACTCTTGAAGTTAACTTTTGCCCTAAAATGGCAAAACCCACAAAGTATTCCAGCAGTCATTTGGGGAGTAAGCAGAGCATCCAAAACCTCATTAAAATCAGAGCTTGAGTATTTGTAGCTGCCTGTTTGGAGTGACTGCAATAGATGTGGTTCTCTGGTTTTACTGCTCTGACTGCAGCTGTAAGCCCCGTTCAAGCTTTCCAACTGCAGTGGGGTATTTCACACACATATCATATTTCATCTGTGGAAAAGTTAATGCTTGGTGCCATACAGACGAATTAAGATCTCTGAAATCATTTCCTTTTTCTCTTTGCAACATGCTATTACTCTTAATGAGGCTGAGTGCTGGCAGGTTATGTCCAACTTTGGTATGGCAATCAGAGATCAGCACTTTATTCCTTTTACTGGCCCAAAGATTTTTTTTTATGAGTTCTCAACTTGACCATGAGTTCAGAGTACATGGATTTACTCCAAGGGCTCCCCTTTCTAATTGGTACTCTGCTTGGCCAGCCAGGCCATCCAAGAGCAGTACAGCTGCTCTGGTTTTGGTTTGTTGTCCTGTTGATGTGGATGAGCAGCACCATGTGTATGCGTGAATAATTTGTGGGTCCTTATGGATTTTTGTGTTCTGGGTGCAAGTTTGTGTCACCAACTACAACCATGCAGTTCTTAGCGATGTCCTTATTTCCTGTATCTCTTTTCAGATTGGTCCGGGAGGTGACGGGAGTAAATGTCAACATGAGGGTTGGAATCCACAGCGGGAGAGTTCACTGCGGGGTCTTGGGCCTTAGGAAGTGGCAGTTTGATGTGTGGTCCAACGACGTTACGTTAGCCAACCACATGGAAGCAGGGGGCAAAGCTGGGTAAGTTGCTTCAGCAAAGCTGTCGTGTTAATATGTGTGTTGTTTTGTGTCTGACATGTCACAGTAAGGTGGGGAAACAGGGGACAGAGGTTCAAGGAGCCTGTATGTCGGCAGTAAAATGATCTGTGGGTGTAGTGTTTTAAGCATGTACAAATGTTCCCAAGGTTATTCTGTTCCATGTCTACATGTCTTTGGTTACAGAAAGTCTACAAAGTCACAAGATGGGCATATCCTTCTGTGGTAAGAACTGAATTCCTTCTCTGTGAAACAAAGCTGATAGATACAGCAGAAGTGAGCAGGTCTGTGTGAACACTAGCAGATCTGGTCATAGTTACAAAGAGATGTGACCATACGTTAACTATTTGCTGAAGAGCATCCCAGCTATCGATGGATACTATATGAAGCGTTGTTTCAGACCAGCCTTTTGTTTTGAAATATTCCTCTGAGAGAGCAGAGTTGGTGCTTGCTTCACCACTGTATGGGCCACCTGAAGACTGAGTTGCTGATAAGTTGGCTTTGAGAGATAATTCTTCTACATGCCTTTCTGTCTTCTCTCTGCTCTGGAAGAAAGCATAAGACTATGGTACTTGATAGGATACCTCTACAAGGCACTCTTCTACCACAGGGATTAATGCGATACAGCAAAAAAGATACATGCTACAGTATATATTACGTGTGTCCACTGAGTAGACATGTCCTTGTGAAAGGCCTGTGTTTGCCAAAAAAATATATCTGCTGTGTTTTAGAGCAAAATAAATAAAAGAAAAGAAAGTGTTTTATATCTAAGGAGATGCTTAGAAATGGATGTGTAAGATGCTTAATGTGACCACCTCTCTCTTTAAGAAGATGCCTCCTGGCCTGCTTCCTTTATAATACATGAAACTCTTGTACTACATCTGTAAGAGTAGTGGCGTGGCTAAATAAATTGGGTTTTATTGCTTGTTTGTTCCAGTATATGGAACCTGTCACTGTCAGGAACTGACTTTTTAGGTGATAACTTTTCAGAACCTACAAAACTGGCTTGTCCTTTGTCTCGTTCTAAGGCGCATCCACATAACAAAAGCAACCCTGAACTATCTCAATGGAGACTATGAGGTGGAGCTGGGCTTTGGAGGGGAACGCAACGCTTACCTGAAAGAGCACAGTATTGAGACCTTCTTGATTGTACGGTGCAGCCAGAAACGGGTAAGAGCAAACTAACTAATGCAGGTTTTCGATACTTTTAATAACTAGATGGTCTCCAACACACCAAAGTAGAGTGAACACCAGCCTTTATAGATGAGTGAGTTGACTATCTGATTGTAGGTGACAAAATTTCCTGTTTCACTCTCCTCTTCCTGAACTTTTGCATGCGTAGAAGGGAGTGGAGCCACCTTCTGCATAAGGTTTCTGCACCAAGTACTTTCTAGTTCTGTCAAAGAAACTGTCCTGAGTTGTCTTCAAAATCATTTTGAAGAATGTTGTTAATATAGATATGTATTTTTTTAATTAAATTTGATATTTGTACAAGCTCTTAAAGCAATAGATTAAAACCACAAAGATCTCTTCTCTGTCAGATTACAGATGAAGGTGGTTTTGTCTACCTGCTCACCGTATTACCATGAACGTAAAGATTAGAGCAGTTCTTATCATTACTTTTCAGCCTCTGTTTCTGAAGATGGGGAAATCTGGCCCATTGTAATGATGGATGATCACTGTGGCAGTGGGATGAGGTCATACCTGCTGCTATGACAGGGGTCAGGCTGCACAAAATAAGGCTATTAGGGCATTACTGACTTGAACTTGAGTCAAGTCAAACTCAAGTGGACTTCGGCCAATATATCTTCTTTTTGTGACACTGCCAGTAACAGAAAATAGGTTGATGTTATCACTAGTTTATATTCTTTACTAGACTGTAATACTAGAAAAGGACCTTTATGATCATTTAGTTGAGCCTAGCTGATAATATTTCTCTAAGTGATTTCTGCACTATAGACACTACTTTGCTATTCATGGTACAGGCAAGCATATAAAGATTGGCCTAAATTGAAAATCATTTCAAATATTTCTGAATCTAAGACCAGTTAAACCTTCCCACAGCTGTAAATATGACTACCATGAGATTAAATGAATTATTGTTTGTGACATGTTCCAATAGCATGGTTGATTTGAATAACTATAACACCTATACAGAAATACTTTGCTACCATTGCCTCATTTCCTGAGAGAATGGGAGCCTCAAATCTCCTTAATGGATATTGTGTAAAAAATCTCCAAGAAAATCCCTTATCATCTGCTAAAGAGACAAGCTGATGTTTTGGTTTCTATCTGCTCAGAAGATAAATCTCATTAACAATTGTCAATCTTCAAAAGAGGATTAGAGCTTGCAGTGCAAGATTATTGTTTCTTGAGCATCGCTGCCTGTCAGTGGGCCAGCTGATGTTTATACCTAAATTACTTCTTCTTTGCTGGGTAGATTTAAGAACATAAAGCACAATACCCTTCTGGTCAGGCCCCGTCTCCTGGGGTGGAGAAGCTATATTGACTTCTTAAATTTTGTACTCACCAAGTTGTCTCCATGTTCTTGTGGAGAACCGAAGGTTTCTCTGGAGAGAAGAGGAAGATCAGGATTCTGCTCCTTGCCAGTGTAGACAAAAAATCAAAAACAGAGACACAAAGCACTTGGGACTTGACTTCATTTTTGAACACAGGGCTGTCTTTTGACTCAGAGACTCAGGAGAGATGTGGATTCCATTCCAGACTTAGATTTTGAGGAACTCGCATCTTTGTGCCTTGATTTTCCATGGTAAAATAAAGTGGGTTCCCCACCCCTCATTCTTTCACTGCTTTATATGTATTTATTGCAGCTCTGTTACACAGTGTAGCCCTTAGCTGAAGTCTCTAGGCACTACTATAATGCTGCTTTAACATGCTGCATTCCAGAGTAGCTAAGAATTGGGACATGCGCATGGCCGGCGTAATTATTGTGCTAAATTGAAACATAACGAGACTGCTACCCAAGGTCATGGATATTAGTATTTACAGTTTGAAGGGCTCCTGGTTTGCCCATACCGCTGCAACTTTCTTGCTCCCATAGCCATTTTCTATCCCTTTGTGAATAGTTTGAAGTTCTCTCCCTCTTTACAAACTCATTTTCACATAATACGAAGATCAGAAGTGAGAAAGGCTTTCTCCCATAGTCAGCTCAGTCAGTCTTGAACACTTTGCTCGATGCTTGGCATAGTTCTAGCACTTCACTTTTTCCTTCCATTTCTGCTTCATTTTAATGACTTCTCGTGATGTATTTTGCCAGGTTTTCAGTTCAGTTTGTTTCAGTAATGGCCATAAAATGTTCACCTAACTTAGTAATGGGTTCCTGTGAGTCGTGTCTGGGTTCCTGCTATCCTCACACACAAAGCACAGGATTTGCATTGACCTGAGAGCAGATGTATAGTTGACCCAAGTAACTGCCTGAGCTGTTCCTCAGTTTGTGCAGGCAGATTTGAATTGGCTGAATACTTGGTCCATCAGTTCCACAGCCATCGAAACCCAACAATACCAGGAGTTACAATGAATGTATAAAATGTAACAGCATCTGTTCCATACCCTTTCTGCTTACTGTTGCCATGGGGAGCCATAACTTTGAATTTCCTGTCTTTTTTTGTTTATTTGACTTTTTCATCGTGTTAATGCCATTTCTTTGGCACAGAATAAATGGGAGGAACATTTATCTAATATTTTTGTTCCAGGAACTCAGGCTAGCTCCTTCTTTGAAAATAGTTTTTTTTTCCTTCTTAAGGATTCTGTTAACTGGAATATATTCAGTTGAGCTTTAGGGGGAAGAAAGCTCAGTCTTTAAATAACATCCCTAGAGCAGAAAATGTAGTCCTTGTGTTCTGTCTGGTACACAGAAGAGTTGCTTTCTATTGAAAGAGAATAAACTGCAAAGTTTGAAAATCCAGTCTGTTTAGGTTTCTCTCTCCTCATCTTTACTTCCAGATCTGCTTTCACCTTTCTGTTTGCCCTGTCGTGTGGTGCTGCTGCTCTTGTGGGTGAGCCCTTGCCTGTGAAGAAGGCAGTGCTCAGCTACCCCAGAGCAGTGCAGGAGCAATTTTATTATTGCAGTGTTATGTTCCCCTAGATAAAAGTTTTCGTGGGTTTTTTTGAAAGCATAGATCCAAAGTTCCAAACTTGTTTTCCTTGTGTTTGCTTTCAATTCCTTAAACAAAGGTTTTGATAATTAAAATATAGAACAGTCTTAACTGTGTGAGATACAAAGGGTGTCGTGCATTTCATTGTAATGTGAATCTATATATATACACACATATACATATATGTAAGTATATATGTAAAAAATTCATTATTGTCATAAAATTAGCATGCTCCATCACAAAGGTCTGTTAAATCTTTTGCTGTGGCTTGTTTGCTCCCATTAGTGCTAACAGGTCTAAAACCTAGTTGCTCTGGTGCCTGGTTGCTCTGGGTGTCTGGTGTCTGCTGTCAGACAGCAGCTGTATCCCCTGTCTCCCTCTCAGCCTTTTTTCTCCTAAGACAAACTCTTCTAATGTCTTCTTACAACGAAGAAGAGACAAACATAAGCTCTCACAGCAAGCTCTTCATTTTTATGATCATCAAAGGAAACCTTTACCTTTTGCTTAGTGATCTTGGTGTCTGATATTTATTCTGTGATGAACTAATGTGATTCCTGATAATGAAGTGAAGTTTCTGACTGTAATCTCTTAAGTGAATTCTCATGCATTTTGTACACTTGAATGTCTCAAGTGCCATTTCTACTATGTCAGTCCTCAACTGCTGGATGCTAATACTCCTTTTTCTCTTATCTATCAAATACTACCTCTGCTTCTCTTATTAGCAAAGTCTGTCATTGCTACACTTGGTGCCAGATGCATTGAAGTCTGTCCCGAGACTAATCCTTGAGTAACTCTCCTAGGAACTTTCGTCCAGCCTAATACTTCTTCATTCAAGATGCTATCTTGCCATTTCACTGGAAACCAGCTCTCTGCCCAGCTTCGTATTCCCTGTCTCTCTGAGCCGTTAGTCACCAGCACAGCACTATGTCAAATGCTCTATGGAAAAACCAAGGCCAGTGAGAGCTACTGTATTTTCTCTGTTTAGAAAAACTTGGATGCTCTCAAGGCTGTTAATCCAAGCCCAGCATCTGCTGCTCTACAAGTTCTGTGTTATGATCCCTGGCTAAATAGTTATTAAAAGTATCTGTTACCAGAACTGGAATTGCAGTTGGCAGTTTTGCACAGATCTGGGGTGGAGGTTGTTCTTCCGACTTCAGCACATCACACTTAAGTTTTGCTTCCAACTTAGTCATGCTTTCCGTTTATAACCCTAGGCTTGTGATCCCTCTTCCCTTTTGCCTCTACTGTGGCAGTAGTGATTATCTGAAGAGAAATAATCTGTTCCTTTAGTTCTAGAGTAATGTAGATTTTTAAGTTTCTGTTATCATCGGGTGATACAGGGTGACTTACACAGGGTGACTTCTGTTCTTATTCAGTATTTTCCTCATTCATTTGGATATGTGTTTCTAATGGACTTAATACCTTAGCATGAAAGAAATGCAGGA